CGACTCTTGGCCAATCAGTGCGGCAATGGTTGCTTGGCAGAGAAAGAACGCCAATCTTCCTGGCGGAAACTCATTTGAGCCCGGAAGACCATGACAAAACACTGCAATGGTTTGCTACCAGAGGCTACGGCATCATTGGGGAAGCCGCAGCGGTGAGCCCCAAAGGAGGCACAAATGGAGGCCTTTTGCTGGTCTTTCCAGCGAATCTGCATTTCCACTACGTACAAAAGCAGATCATTGACGGTTGTGGGTGGTTTGCAGTACACTGGACATTCGAAAACTTTGATCTCATCTTGGTCATGGTATATTTTAAGTGTGGAGAAGGCCTGCAAGGAGCCACAAATTCTTTGCTGTGGTCCGGGCTCCTCACCTTTGTCACCAGTCTTGCCAAGCCGGTGATAGTGTTTGGAGACTTCAACATCACACCAGAGGAATTCATGGCCACCACGATGGGCACCATCATGCAGGTGCAAGTCTTAGCAACAGGCGAGGAAACCTGTGCCACAGGAAGGGAACTGGATTGGGCTTTGGTGACCACTGCTCTTCTCCCTGAAGTCCGCATTGAAGCCAACTGGATGGTCCCTTTCAAACCGCATGCACAGATCAACCTGCACCTGGCCAAAGATCTACATCAAGTGACGGTCACACAGATACAGCGACATCAGCCTGCGCCCAAATTGGAGAAAATCAGCATGGAATGGACACAGTTTGCTGAGATTGACCTTCCTGTGAAATGGCTTGGTATGCCCACCAACCAGATCACGCAACAGGCTGGACAGCTGTATCACAAGATTGAGCGCTATGTTCTGCAACAGCATACAACTCCCAGTTATGGCCGTGGCACTACTTTGAACTACGTTCAAAAACCGCTGAATGATCCTAGCAAACCATGGTTGTGGAAGAAGGGGTCACTGGCCTACTGGTCCCAGTTGGAAATCAGATTGCAACAGCACATGCATCGGAAGAACTCAGAGGACAGACAGATGCATCATCTAGAACGTCTTGGTTGGCATGTTGATCGCAACTGGCATCCGGAAAGCAACATGACGCTTGAAGGTTTCAAACTCCTTTTCCAGATGCTGTGGAAGAATCATGATGTCGAGCACATTCAAGTCCTCCTACAAGCCGTCAAGCAGCAATGGGAGCTTCATCAAAAACATGTGTTTGACACAGAAACACAAGAGTACAGAAGTTGGATGCAAGCTGCCTCGCTATCAGGCTGCAGGGGTCTCTTCAGAACCCTCAAAAAAGATGAAATGCCTTATGCGAGACCCTTTCAAGATTTACCTCGTACAGAACGGATGCAGCACAGACTCCAACAATGGGGGGAAATCTGGCAGACGAGAGAGCAGCCACTTGAACCCAAAACGATCCAAGCGCTCATCTACAAGGGTCAAGACTATGCACGTGAAACGCTCCAGCCACTGCATGTGCATCAAGTATGGAAAGTGATCAAACGCCTCAGCCACAAAGCGCCTGGCCTTGATGGAGTTGGCTATGACTTCTTCAAAGAGCTCCCTTATCAAGCCATCCCGGACTTGATACAGTTTTTCCATGAGATAGAGGCCACGGCGAGCATTCCAAATCAATGGACCTCTTCCTTGATTGCCATGCTGCCCAAAACCAAGGACATTGAGAGGCCGATTGCATTAGTTGCATCCTTGTACAGATTATGGTGCAAGGTCAGAGCTCCGTACACAAAGCAATGGCAGCAAGAGATCCAAGATGTGTACAAATGGGAACGAGCAGTTCCTGGCACAGAATGCCTCAAAGTCGCGCTGAAACGGGCCTTCATGACCGAGCACCATCATGCCCTCAAGCGCACAGTTGTCTCAGTGCTCATGGATATGTCCAATTTCTATGACAGAATTGACTTGGAGAAGCTCACAGAGCGTTGGCTTGACTCAGACTACCCGGCCACACATGCTGCCCTGGCCATGCAGATTTACTGTGGTAGTCGGATCATTGAAGCTGAAGGAGAAGCATCCAAGATGATTTGGACCAGCAATGGCATCTTGGCAGGGGATCCACAAGCACCTTTGGCTGCCAAAATTTACCTCAAAGAAGCCTTGCATGCTTTCTGCAAGCGATTCCCTCAACTACAAGTTGATCTTTGGATAGATGATCTGAGCTTCGACATTGTTGATCGTGATCCTGCAAATGCTGTCAGATTGGCCATTGCAGCGTTTCAGTATATCAAAGGTCTCTTGGAGGCGGACAATTTGAAAGTGTCAGACAAAAAGACGGGCTTCCTCACCTCGAATGCCACGGCAAAGAAACTTCTCCTTGAACAGCTGCCAAAAAATGGGCCAGGTGTACATGATGTGATGCGAGACCTTGGTGTAGATTGCACAGCAGGTCGCTTGAGACGCATAGCCACGATGAAGTCTCGAAGATTCAAAGCCAACAAAAAGACTCAGAAGATGAAGGCCTTGAAGATCCCACAAAGAGCAATTCGCTTAAGACTGTACAAGGGCAGTATCCTGGCCAGCATCAGCTGGGGACATGAGGCAATGGGCCTGGCTCCACAGGTCCGAAAACGCATCAGAGCCACCATGGGGCGGCAGCTCGGCCATCAGAGAACTGGGAACTTGGACATTGTGTTCGATATGCACAGTGGCCATCAAGATCCAGACTATGCTGCGTTCTATGACCAAGTCAAGATCTTCCGGCATTTTGCGGGACAGTGGCCAGAAGCTCTGAAAAGAGACTTAGAGAAATCCTGGGCTCATCACCAAGAACGACTGGCCCAGGCAGTTCATCCTTGGCAGGTGACACGTGGACCCATGGCAGCGCTGCAATGCTACCTCCAGGAAAAGGGCTGGTCAGCCATCACGCATCAGGAGTGGACCAAAGATGCCAGCAACGGAGCACCAGAATTCCGGATCCTGCTGAGTGACCCATGGCCTACCATCAAGGCTGAGCTCAAACGGGCTGAAAGCAGTGACAGATTGCTCCGCATATCCTCCAGAAGCATGCTCCAGGAAGTTCAGCAACCTTTGGACTGGCTCCCATGGAGAAGAATGAGCAAAACGCTCAGTCAACACAATGCATGTGCTCTACAAACATGGCACCAAGGGGCACTTTTCACAAAGTTCAGTGATGCCGTGGAAGGGCAGCATTTACTTTGTCCTCACTGCTCCCAACCGGCAACTACGGTGCATTTGCTCTGGCTATGCAAAGAAACCAAGGCACATTTCCCTGCACTTCAGGCTGCCGATCAGTTTGAGCTTGAGCATGGCTTGAATTTAGAGTTTTGGGCCCAAGGCTTACTCATGGTGCCGAGACTGCAACAGTCCACCGGAGGAGCCTCCGTTCAGGCCTGGGGAACGTGGACGGCACAAGATGAAGCTAGGATTGAACATCCAGATGTGGTGACAATTGGCATCGCCCACACTTCCACAGATGTTCGCCTCAAACACTATGCAGTCTCCATTGTCCACCACACCCAACTTGGAGGACAGTTGTATCGCCAAGGAGCCGTGATAGCAATTTTGCCAGGAAAACAGAGCTGGGAGCGTGCGTGGTACTATGGACTCCGCATGATAGCTCATTATGTTTCCTTGCAGCAGAGACTGGTGGTTCACGTGCAAAGCACACGTGCATGGGAGTGCTGGCAGCAAAACAAACATGCCGAAGTGTTTCATGATTTGCGTGACCTGATCACCTGGGATCAAAAGCAGCGAATCCGTGTTCTGTGCATCAATGCCAAACAGCTCAAGGAGATGCCAAGCAATGAATGGTCTCTCCGCAACAGGATGGCGGATGCAGCCAAGGCGGCTAAGGAAGTAGCCTTGTCGATGCAACCTCTTGAGCAAGAAAAAGAATTGTTGGAGCAAGATCAACGCTACAAGCGCATTGCACCACTAGCAATTCAGCGCATCAAGCATTTGCTCAGTGACAAGCAACATTTCCTACATGAAGCAAGAGAGACGGGCAAGCAAAAAACGGGTGGAGGCCCGAACAAACAAGCAAAATGCACTCACTAGCCTGACACACAACGCAGGCCAGGGATCACACACATGGGTTGCCAAGGGCAAAGGTGTCCAGTGTGCCACTTGCAAGAAGAGGCTCACTATGCACAGTAAACACCAAGACATCCTTGCAGGCAAGACCGAACAGTGTGCTGACACCCCACAGCCACCCCTTGTTGGAGGTGAAACGGCCAGTCAGACCAAGTCTGCATTGTTGCAAGAGATGATCAGAGGCCAAATCCCAAACATGGCACCACATGAGTTTGAGGAAGCCAAGAACTACATTTCTTGTGTGAAATGCCATGCCCAGTTGCTCAAGAACTCCTCGCGAGAGAAGCTGCTCGAGTTGGCCACCATGCCATGTTGGAACCAACTGTGGAGTCCGGAAGGCTGGCAGGGACACCCAAGCCATCGGATGTGGCGCAGAGGTGGAAAGCTGTGGTGCCAAGCCTGCAAGGCACATGCGCTGGTCCACCCTTTCAGGACAAGCAAGGCCTTGAAAGGCCCATGCTCACAGCAGACGGGGCAAAAGCAGCTCCCCATCTGCTTCCGGCAAAAGGCCGATTGAGAACATGCAGTTGGAAAAGAACCGCAGAAAAAAAAAAAAAACAAACATAACATAACATAACATTACATTACATTACATTACATTACATACCAACCATACCTCACAAAAGCAGGCCACAGGCGCCCCCCTGCAATTCTCTGTGACTCCGGGCGTTTCTTGGGAAAAAAGGTTTGCCATTTTGCAGCCATGTATTCAGGGGCACAAATCCTCATCAAGAGGTTCAAGAGTCATTTGAAAAGACAGTTAGCATCGGCTGATGGACCAACTAGTAACTAGTTCCCTCTTCTGCGTCTTCCATCATGTTGCGATGTCAGTGTGAAACTCGTTCAGTGCTGACTCTGCTGGATGTCACGACCGGGGTGTCTGGTGACGACCGGCCGTGTTGGTCGAACCTACCCCGGTCGTCTCGTCTTGGTCTCTGCGTCGGAAAAGGTCGCAGCGGCACCCGAGGTGTTGAATCAACCAGCGGGGTCACAGTATATGACTTGGGATTGCTCTTCACTTCGTGAATCACTTACAGTAGTACATGTCATTGGTGTGGCAAGAGTCTGGTTGTTCTTGGTGTCTTTCGCTTTCTTCGCTCCAATCACGGCACTGGCATCTCGAGACAGCTGCCGGCTCACAAGTTGAGCATACACGCCTCCTGGGAGTTGACAGAAGGGTTGATTTGGGGAAAACCTCGGGCAACACAGAACTTCGACCCAAAGAACTTCCGTTTTGACTCAATCTCCACTTAAGGCTGTCATGATCCACCACTTCTTTGGAATCCACCACCACTTCTTTGGAAGTTAACATGAGTCTTTGGGACTTTCAGGCAACCATATGGTATGCATTTGGTGTGTGTACATCAAGACGAACATCTAGCGGAATTTGGGGCAGTCCAGGTCTTTCAGAGGTCTTTTATTGTCACACAAAACATCACAAAACATTTGAGCACACCAAAATTCATCAAAACGCCGTTCTCCCGTCCTTTTGCTACTAACTCATCGTGAGTGCCCCTCTCCACGATGAGACCCTTGTGAATCACACAAATCTGTGTGGCGTTGATCACGGTGCTCAAGCGATGGGCGATCAGAACGACCGTACCTCGAACGAAACGGGGCGAGGAACGAATCGACGCGTAGGTGATCAACTGTAGGTGAGTCACTTCAGTGAAAACCAGAGGCACCAACCCCACCTTAAAGCCACAAGAGAAAACAACTCACAATATATCTAGCGCTTCCAAGGGGTGCCCTGTCTGGAGACCTGTAAGTGGTGTTTGGTGACCCCTTGGAAGCAGCTGGTATAAATTAAAGATTTAGTCAATTAATGAAATGTCAATTATAGTTACATGATGTTGCATGTTTTGGAATGGCTGGGAAGCTCTCTCTCCCCTGCTCCTCCGGGGCGAGTTTTGGGCATGTCCAAAGGCGTCTACATGTCTAAAACAAAGAAGGGACCTCCCTAAATGTAAGTTACGCTTTTGCAATCCAGCAACCCACCCCCACCCCGTCAAAAACAATGCAAACATGCAAGCTACATTCTGCACGTCCCCCCTCGTGTTTGCAGAGATAATGTAGAGATCGATGGTGGTGATACTATTGACTGAGGCGGCTTAGACCCCCAAAACGTATGTGAATTATGCTTAACATACTTAAACTGACATGGCAAGCCACACGATTTGTGATGGTGTTTGTGTTTTCCAGGTGGTTGCTGCACAAGCTGGGGTCTTTATCATATCCTCATGATCCACTGACCAGTCTGGCCCTTCCTAGCCGATCCAATGCCCAGCTGCTATTGAGCTCCAGCAGTAGAGATTCCAGTGCGCCCTGGACAATTGCCTCATTCTCCGCATCCAGCGCAGAGGTGGCTTCGTCCAAGAACAGCATCCTGCAGACGTGTTTTCCCAATTCAGGAGCGGAACAGGAAACACGTTCAAACGTAGGAGTCCCGATGCCCGAGAGGTTGTGATGCGCTTTGAGAGGTTGAAAAGTAACAAGGACGCTACTAGGGCCTCCTGGCATCGCTACTAGGAGCAAGAAC